AAAAAAAAAAGAGAAGAGGATAGAGAAAGATAGCAAGTGAACAATAGAGGGGATGTTAGTGAGAAACAGATATGGTTTATTATCTGTTGAAGATGACGTGTATAGTATTCTCAACTGGACTGGTCTGGGAAGTATTTCATGATGGGTGAAGTCTTTTAACAAGCAAAATGAGAAATAGTGATTGACTGTTTTAAAAAATTATAATAATAATAATTATTGGGAAATGCATGGAAAAGACATTGAATGATAAAGCGGGGAGATTGATGTCTCTGTATTGACTGACATGCATGGCATTCCCTTTTGAAAAAGCAATGGAAGTTAATGTAAAGTTATATGTAATCCAATGTAATATAAAGAAGATTATGATGATAATAATAAAAAAAAAAGAATAGGGGGGATTGAAACTGAGCAAGGACCCCCTAATGTATTTTCTAAGGTTCTTGAAATATAAGGTCCATTTACATTGTAATGACCCAGAATAAGAAGTCTTCAGACTTTGGTTATGATAATGACCAACATGGACCATGAATGAGGGCCATTTGACCTCTCAAACTCTCACTTAAAGCAAAGATAAGGTTTTCATTTCAATATGTAAGACATTTTATAGACTGCAAACTGCTGGTTATGAGTTCAAAGACTCCAGGCTGAATGGCTCCAGAAACCTGAAGAAAAATTTGATTATCTGAGGCCTCACCAATCAAGAATGCCCATGAGATGACCATGCCCTCTCAAACCAATCACTGAACTGATCATGTGCCTGGGACCTCTGCCCCTAATTTTACCCTTAAAAACACATGTGGGGAACATGTCGTGGAGACCAGGTCTTTTCAGCATGAGCTGCCCGCTCTCCTTGCTTTGCGCTTTGCAATAAAGCTGTATGTACTTCCCTTCATCACACCATGTGCCTATGGTTTGGTTTAATAGCGCTTGGGCAAGTGAACCTGAGTTGAGTTCAGTAACAATTTCATGGGAGTACAAATTCAGTCAGTCAGTCTAGGTTTCTTTATCACTACATATTTTCCTGGTCCAAAGCTACACAGCTATAGGCAGGGGGTCCCCTAAACATTAACTTAAAGTATGTTTCCAAGTTCTTAGATAAGACATTTTTCTTAGATAAGACTTTTAAATTGGTCTTTCAAGTATCTAGTTGTGAAAATAATCAACAAATTTCTCATTCTGTTGACTAAAATTTTGCACAAAACACAATTCTTTCAGAAGTAAAATCTCTTTTCAAAAAATAAAAATTTCTAGAGGGCATGTGCGCTTGGCAGAGAGACAGAGAAAGAGAGAGAGAGGGAAAGTGAGAAAGCATCCCCAGGGAGATGGCCACACCACAATCCATTCTCCATACTTCTCTTGGGAATTCTGGGCACATACCACATATATCTGGCGTGTTTTTCAAGCCACTGGGCCCAGGACTCAAACTGCATAGTCAGCCATGTGGGATCCAGCCTCTTTAACCATCATGCCACATGTCTATTTTCATTTCACACTTAATACAAGCAATTCATAACTTAGATATATGATAGGTTAATTTAAAAAATTGAGATGTTCAGGAATGACCTGCATGTCCTAGGATAATAGGAGAATTATTTAGCAAGTATGTAGCAGATCTACTAATGATACTTTTAGTGATTCTGCATATGCAACATGGTGTAGGAGTTAAAAAGCATAACCCTGGAGCCACACTGCCTAGTTCAAATCCTGACCCACCATCTGCTGGCCCTTTGGACAGATTTCTTAACCTCTTCCAGTCTTGGCTTCTTATTATAAAATAGGGATGGCTCAGTTTGGCGGTACACAGGTACTGCAATGCTCAAGCAAAGCTGGATCCATATGGAAGATTGAGGGTTCAGGTCCCTGGTTAAGCTGTATATGCCAGATACACACACCCACAATCCTGGCTGGCTGAGTAGGCTTGGAGAAGGGATCCTGGCATGAGATCCTATTGAAGACATAGGTCTCCTTCCCTCTCCCTCTCTCTGTCTCTCACTCTCATGAAAAAACTAACTTCAAAAAATAAAGTATGGGGACCAGCAGTTAGCATAATGGCTATGTCGCTGGACTCCCACGTAGTTGACCGCGGTTCGCATCCCGGACCTGGTGGCTTAAAACTCATGCTGTGTGCATGTGCGTGTGCACCCAAGATCCCGAGAGGAGAATGGAGGAGAAGAGATTGCGGCGTGGCCATCCTCCCCGGGGGGTGATTTCTCGCTTTCTATCTCTCTGTCTCTCTCTGTCTGGCGAGCACATGCACCCTATAGCAAAAACCTCTTAAAAAAAAATAATAATAGATAAAGTATGGATGTTAGGCCCAGTCATGATGACTCAAGCAATAGGGCACCACTGTGTGAGGCTGAGGCCACACAGGAGCACCAGGTTTGGTTCCCAGACCACGGTAAACAGGCTGGGCACAGTGATGTACACCTGGAATCTTAGCTAACAAGGAGGCTGGGGCAGGAGGAGCACAGCTTGATGAGAACCTGTCAAAAATACTATGTTGTTGGGAAAGTCGTGATGCATTTTGTCGTGACTTTCCTGACATCCTAATACCTACCTCTCTCTTTATCTCTCATAAGATAAATACACATACACACACATATATATGATCCTCTTTACCTCATAGGATCATTGTGAGAATTTAGTGAATTAATACTTGCAATGTGCTCAGAACAGTACCAGCATATAGTATCAGAGGGTAATAAGATTAAACCCTCCCAGAAATATTTACTCCGTTAGAAGAGGCCGCTTGCTGAGGTAAGGTGATTTTTAGTTTCGTCTTATGAACTCTGACAGAATAAAGTGGGTGAAAAAATGTCAAGAAAATGACTGGGGAGGCTATACTGCTTTAGTTACATCGCTGTGAAGTACCCAGCTTCTAACCCTTCTTTCATTTCTTGACCCTGGGGTACTCTAAGTACTCAAGTATTTCTCCAAGACTGAATGTTGGTGATTGGAAGGAGAGGATGTTAAGGGACAAAAGCAGCCAGTTACATGAATGAGTTTTGAAGTGTGATATCTGCTTTCTGTTCAAGTCTGTGGAAGGGAGGAAGTTAGACCATTTGAGTTAGACCCGATTACTTCAGGGCAAATGCAGACGCCCTTGAGACAGACATGGCCTTGCGTTCTTTCCCCTCTTTCTTTGTTGCATATCCTTTTACTCCTATAAAGTGCCCAGGTGAGGTCTGCATTGGCATAGGGGCTCCTGGCTACACTAGGAGCCAGGGTTCCAACTGTGAAGAGTACCGCTGAGGTGGAAAGAACCCTCTTTATCTCCCCTGTAACCCTGGCTGCAGCTACTTCGCAGTCCCTTGTAAAACACCATCTCTCCTCTTCGTGAAAGTCTTCAAACCGCAGTGCATTCTCAGGACCTCAAGACAATGGGAGGCTAGTGTTGATCTGAGAGGTTCAGTGAACACATACTTAGGAGGGCAAGTTTCAGGTACACCCCTGCTACTAGTACAGTGAGCTCAAAATGTTTATTGGATCCCTGTATGGAGGCATGAATGTTGGATACATGTATGGAGGTGTGAATATCGTATCCAACGGTAGCCATTTATTGTATTTAATACAGTCATAACAACATCAGGAACTTGTAAAAATGTCAGTCTTACTCAGAGTGGGAGGTGGAAAGGAAGAGTCCAGTTTTATAGGCCTGAGATGACCAGTGGGTGCAGGAACAGCTGTGTGACATTTTTTAAATGTTACCTAACTCCTAGGGCTTATTTCCTCTTCATATGTAAGGGGGCTAAAGACAACGACTCCCTCTTGGGCTGTTTCAAGAATTAATTTTGAAAACAGTAATGCACGATGCAAATATTCTTACTGTCCTTAGTTATCTAACCTATCTGCACACTCTCAACACGTGCATTTTCTCTTGTATTATAACTACAGATATTTGTGAAGATAATGAAGATGATCGGGAAGATCGATGCAGCGTTCACTCTGAAAGGAACGTCAGTAGCCCGAGAACATCAACCCCCATAGGTTCCCTTCCAGGGATGTTGAGACCCTGCAAAAATTCTTGACTCCTGTGTCGGACACTCCTAACCTAGCCTGCTGGGCTCACAGGGACCAGAGCAGTGCCCCCGCGAGCACTCTTTCACTTTGTCCCTTTGGGTTCGCTCTCCACGGCGGGACAGTCTGCAGGGCCCCATCTGTCCCTCCTCCTGCCGCCTCCGGACCCGGCACCAACGTTCCCAGAAACCCCTTCGCCCGGACCTTCAGAAAGCGAAAGATGGAAACCCCGATGGGGGGCGCCTCGGACTCGAGGCGCTGGGCCGGGCATGCGCGGAGCGCGGCAGGCTGGGAGGAGCGAGGGCCCCGCGGCGCTGGGCTCGGCCCGGGGGCGCGTACCTGGTAGCGACCGGTGAGCAGCTGGCTCCGCGACGGCGTGCACAGTGGCTGCGTGTAGTAGTTGTCCAGGAGCACCCCGCCGGCCGCCCGCGCGT